CCATGATTTGACAAATTCCGAAGTTTACGTTCGGGTTTGGAATTGTTGTCTATCTTTGTTCTAGCGAAAACACTAGACAACCTTTTTGATATTATTGAAAGATTGGGTCACTAAAGTGGTGTCTTGTGACGGCTTGGCACTACACAACAACTACCTCGGCACTTGCAGTACTACCGCGTACCACCCACTCACCTTGTGTTGACCACGAGCACAATTTTTTTCTGTTTGGTTGTAGTGAAATTTATCTATTGGAAAGTAGTAATGTTTATTTTTTTGTAATCGTTTATTTTTCCGTAATTGGTTACTTTTAATTTCAATTGATTTCAAAATCTTTCAAACTTGTGATTTATTAGGGCTCTTTTTGTAACAGTACTGCAGATGGCATTTAAACAAGGTGATTCAGAATATGATCTCTTCAAAAAATGTTATCCTGAAATGATAAAAAATGCATTATTTGAAGAAATATATAACAAGATTATAAAAGGGTTAGTTTACTTTCGAAAATTGTTCGGTTTTTCTCAATGAGATATGGGACAGGTTTTCATGACATTAACATACAGAGTGGTCCAACGAAAATAATGCACCTTGCTTTTCTCCTTTTTTTTGTAACTCAACGCAAAAATGCTCGGACAGGTCAATTTTGCTTTTGAGGGGGACACATTTTTCTACCTGTGCCTTCAACCCCCTAGCGAGGGTGAGTAAATGGAAAGTGGGGTCGAGTGATATATCATTTGAAAGGGCACAAAATTCTCTTTCCAATGATACCTAATTTGTTGTATTTCACCCAAACATGTAGGTATTATGAAGAAAAACAACTACAACCCAGTACTTTGAAATGTGTAATAGACTTAGTTATACTTCTGCACTCTGCTGTAATTCGTTGGCGAAGATCTTCTATGGACTCGGGCTGCGTAGCAAAACATTTATTTTTCAAGTGTCCCCAAAGGAAAAAGTCTAAAGGTGATAAATCAGGTCGTTAAGTTACAAAAAAAGGAGAAAAGCAAGGTGCATACTTTTCGTTGGACCACTCGATATAGGTAGAACATCCTAAAAAGTACTCATGGCGAGATATTGATTATAAAACATCCAAAACACTTCAAACATTTATAATGTTGTAGATGTCAAAGAAATATTAATTTTCCAAATGAGAACTAATAAATGAAAATTGACAAAAGGGCTGTAAAAAAAAATAATGGAAAAAAATAATATTTAAACTGTTGGGTTATTGAATATACATTTGGACAAATGGAAGCATCCTCATAAAACAATATTAAAGGAAACATTTTTCAAACTTTCTTACTCATAGCGCCGGACAATAATGATAGGAAACCTGCTGAATCCAGGAAAGTGGTCAGAATTTTCAACGTTTTGAAATTGAATTTGTACATGATATATTATTCAAGTTTAAAGGGCGATATTATTATTTTAAATTGAAATTCCTACAATGTTGAACTGGTATATCTACAGTTTCATAATATTTTGGAGAGTGATATGTTTTTAAATAAAATGAAGCTGTAAAACGTATCAATACCTACACTGGACAGGAAGTAATACAAATCGCGCCAACTGAATCTCATTATTGATATTGAATAGAAAGTTGAGTTAGTTACACAATTGTACTGCAAGATATTTATTAGTGCAAGAAGTTAAATTTTGAGATGGATTCAGCATTTTTAGAAAAAAATGCAACGTTACTGTCTGAATTTAACGTTCAACTCGTATTTTATGTATATGCAAGAAAAACTTCTGAAGAACAATCAATACCGTCATAATGCGTACATCAATAAAAATTTAATTGGGGGTTATTTCTTTGTCATCTTAATTTTATTCTAGTGGATATTGTGTTCTATTTTTATATTGTTTGTATGCGTGGGTTTGAATAAAAAAGTACCTAGATTATACACGTAATTACGTCAGTATTTCATTCAGTATTTGAGTATTGTTTGTATCAAGTTTTCAAAACTAGAATTTTCTCTACTACGGTAAAGATTTGTTAAGAACTCAATGGTATATTATCAGACTTACACTGGTANATTCCGTGGTAAATTTCAATCATTTTTCCCGGTGTATGAGTATTTGTTGAGGTTTCAAGTTTTTAGACAACAAAAAGTGAAAGTTAGAAAAAAAAACCATTGTTACCTTTTGAAGTTGTCGGTTTCTGAATCACTTTGAATGTTTTTCTTTGTTTTAACTTGTGAAAGTTGAATTACGTAAAGTTTGATTCCAATATACGTCATATTCTACGTTACTCTTCACACTGTCCAACATAAACAGAAAGAGTTCAGTCAGTTAGAGTACGAATAACTTCAAGAAATTTGGCATTGATTTTATGCTAGAAGAATACAAACATATAGGTTTCATCGAAACTAACTGTTTCATTTGATTTCATATTTTTCTTCAGTATCTTTGGTAGTTAGATCAAACTTACTAACACTGATAACTTTTCTGCCGAGGTATAGTTTGTGTTGCGTCTAGGACGAGTAGTTCGTTTTAGACAGATATTTTATAATTTTTTTAATTTCTCGTATTAACACAGTGTATGCCTTCAAGTTAGACTTAGATCACTCCTAGAGATAAATTTAGTTATAGTAATATTGTGTAGAGGTTTTCTTTGGCATGAAGTGATATTCCTGAAAAAAATCGTCCTTTCCTTGGTATGCTTCTTTGGTTTGACCAACTAGATAGAACGCTTATTAGAATAGATTCTCCAATTTAGCCGATTAGATTTCTAGAGTGACTTTTCGTCCACAATATTTCTATTTTAAATGAACAACTAAATGCTTGCTTGCAAAGTCTATTCATATATTATTGTTCCCGCCAATTTGATGTACTATTACCTCATCATCTTTTTTCTCTCATATAACAATTTTTTTTACTGTCCTTGCTGACCCCTTCAGCTAATGCATCTGAACTAAACAATATTTAATAATCTCTAAATAAGATAGTATGTCCCGAAATCAGTGATATCACAAGTACAAACCCCAACAGAGAAAGTAACAATTTGTTGTGGATACTTGTGAATTGTGTATATCATTTATTTTGGGCGTTAAATCTTTCAAATTATCTACTAATACCACGTAAGTAAATACTAAATTTTATATATTTTATAACTAATCAAGGAACCATACAACCATCCCCGCTATATGATCCTCACAATCCTGACTGAGCAGAAGTACCGCTGACCACTATGTCGTTTCTCAAGAATTATTCATATTTTCATTAATGATGTTTTTTGTAAGACGACATATTGATTCGGAGAACGCATGATAAGTGTAAATACTATAACTGTTCCCTAAAATGATAACAGCATGTTCGTGGATGTGTTTGGTCGTAAGTATAAACAATTTTCAAGCAAATTTTCATTCAATGTACCTATCAAATCAATTAATGATGAATCATCTTAAGTAACTTGGGAATGTCACATTACATATACGGTAAACATCATATTTTTCTGTTACAAAAATCATCTTTAATTTATCTCGTCTCTTCTTATCTGTCATCTACTCTGTGGCACATCAAATATAAATTCCGAGAGAAAATTTTCAACTGAGTCAATAGAGCCACAATTAATTTATACCGTCAGAAAAGATATTTTAACGGTAATTACAGCTGTTTGACATATCAATTCCATCAATTGAACAAGTGGTCAGATTGTGGTTCGACTGACATTCTTTTAAAATCCTACAGATCACTGGTTGGAATTGTGTAACTACGTATTTCAAATGTTCCAATAAAACTGAAATAAGAACTGAAATTAATGACGGGCAGGAAAAGATAAACTTTATATTGTGTATCAGAATACTCAGGAGTCAAAGATAACGAAGAAGCTGGTGAGCATGTCATACATGGATCATCAAAATTCCAGATCAGGAAACGGGTCAACGAGAAAGAAAGAATACACAACACAACAAAGTTTTTGTTTCGGGGTTGAAATTAGATGATTTTAATGTATTTCCACGTGTTAAAACCGAAAGTGACCATAAAAATTATATATTAGCTCTTGTTTTCAAGATATAGTATCATTATATTATATATTCACGTATAGTATAACTACTCTTTAAGATTAAGTACTGTGTATCTCAAAAACCAGAGCTAACAAAAATTTTTCATTGTTATTTTCGTTTTTATCACCCCAAAATCAGTAGAAATTGACTAATTTAGTATAGGAAACATTCAAAAAATATTTTTTTGTTGTGTTGTGATATTAGCAAAATGTACTTGAGAACTGTGATGACTCAACTGGAAAACCTATATAAAGGCGTGGCCTTTGAAAGGACACTGTCCATTTAGAGGACACCTAAACAAATAGGGTTTTAGAGGTCGTCACTGTCATCCCATCATGTCTTATGCACTATCAAATCATAGGAGGCTAGACAATCCAATCCGAAGGACCAACCTATTTAAACTAAAGTAAATGACAAAGATCAGAGAAAAAAAACGCAAAGAGGACCTCAAGTCATTCGCTCATACGGAGATCAAAAAACTAATCATATCATACTAAGATGCTGCTTTCAAAATGGGATCAATACTATGCGAAATGAGGAAAAAAAGAAAACAGCCCTACTTCGAATAAGAATAGTCGTTTCTAACCTATGCAGGTCCAGCAATTCGTTAACTTAGTTGTAAAAAAAATTACTGCTATTATTCAACTCTTCATACCATTCCCAGACTATTCACAATTCAGTTGTGATCATGGTAGTACTTTTGATGTGCCACACGAAGTATGTTGCTTTCACGATTATAAAGATATAGTCCGTGAAATCATGCTGTCAAAAATTCTTCTTTTCGAACAGAATATTATTGTCACAATTTCATGTAAACATAATGCATTTCCAAGTTACTTATGTTGGCTCCCCTTGTGGATTAATTCAATAATCCTATAACAGTTCAACAATAGAATAATAACTTAGACTAGGATAAGTAATATTTGCTTCAAAGTTGTTTTTGTTGTATGTTATAAGTGAAACAAGACCATGAGCTAAGTTTGCTTTCCCATCTAGGTTGATTTCAATGGCTTACGGACAGATTGGTATGATACAAGCCGCAGCAGGTTTCTTCGTCTATTTCGTCATTATGGCTGAGAATGGGTTCCTACCTATGCAATTGTTCGGTATCCGAAAGCAGTGGGATTCGAAAGCAGTTAACGATCTAACAGATTCTTATGGCCAAGAATGGGTAAGAACCTAGATTTCTTTATATTTCTGTTATTCATGTTCCTGAAGTAATACATTTTTTTTAAATTCTTAATTGTTCATAGCCAAGTTTCAATTGGATTTAGATTTAAATCCTCGCAAAATGACGATCTCAAAGATCTATAATCTCTGAAATTTTGGTAAGGTTGCCTACAAAGGAACCAATAGAGCATTAAAAAACCGTTTTTCCATTATATCAGAACGTTTTCCCATCCTTCAACAGTACTCCCAGTTTTTCAAATGACAACCATCTCGTCATTTGTGATATTTTATCTACCGAACCCCTAGTAATGGTAAATTGATGGATGTAGCCGATACTACGTGGTAGGAGATCATAAGGAGATCTTTTCACCTAGTAATGGTGATAATCGGCCCTTTTTGGACAAGTCACCTGGCTTAAAACGTTATCACCGAAAAATTATTCAAATTTCAAGAAAAGTTTATACAACATCATGTATAAACGATTCAAGAAATGTGTTGAATTTCAACGGGCCCTCGATGTAAAATATATTAGCAAAATGAAATCAAATGATACCATCAGTAATGTGTGATATTATTCAGAGTAACTTGATTCAGAGTATACTTGAGTATACGTAAAAATTAACTGGACGAAAAAAAATCATATTCTTGTTAAGAAACCAGTTAGACTAGTACTATTATCAAATATGAATAGTCTATAAACTAGACAAATCAATAGAAATTACATTCATATAATTCTAATATAAATTTCACTGTTTTTCAGACATACCGCGATAGAAAGTCATTGGAATTCACCTGCCATACAGCTTTCTTCGTGTCGATCGTTGTGGTGCAATGGGCCGATTTGATCATTTGCAAGACCCGTAGAAACTCGATCATTCATCAGGGAATGAGAAACTGGGCTCTCAACTTTGGCCTCGTTTTTGAGACCGCTTTGGCTGCTTTCCTTTCGTACACACCCGGTATGGATAAGGGTTTGAGGATGTATCCTCTCAAGTAAGTATAATCGGAACAAATCAATGAGTTTGTTTTTTATTGATTACCGTTTCTGATTCACTCAGTTCATTTTCTAGTTCTATTTGTATTTCCATAATGCGTTGAAACACTAAAGAAGACACCACTAAGTGGAACCACCTAGTGGTGTGACACCCAAGTCAACTTGCCCAAGTTTTTATGTAAGTGTTGGTGGTTTGACCAATCAACCAACAACTGCGTTAGCAGAAATTTGGGAAGCTATCCTGGAATGCCACCAGAAAACGAATCCACATGTTTCTAGAAATTATATGAAATGGGGAAAGGTTAATGCAGTTAAGCTGCTGGAAAATAATTCCATGAAAATCAAAAGAAAAATCCAGTTGAAATATCAGATTGTAGTGAATCTTCCTTCGGAATTTACCATAAGTGAAACCAAGGAAACACATATTGTAATCCTGGGTTACATTCCACTAAATCCATTTTGAAACCCACAGATACTATGTTAGCTAAGTACTTCTTCGATACCATTCTACTTTGGATTAAAGGGCTGGTGTGGGAATTATATAGCCAAGATTCAAGCTCTCTTAACCCCCTTTCTCGCTATCCTTCAAACATAAATGCACGTTCTACAGACGTCAAAGCAATCAAAGTTCTACCATTCTACGCTAATATTTTATTCATGATTGATCCTAATTAATCATTTCAACACGACAGGCTCTAACCCTTGATTTAAGGGTTAAGTGAGGTGAAAAAGTGTGTTGTGATAAAACATAAGGTGAAAGTAACCTCGGAAAGGATTACTGAAAGGCAACAAGTTGGCTATGTTCAACTTTCTGCGTTGATTTCTTACCTCCAGCCTACCAGAAAGCACCGTGCTACGAACTTTTGCGAATATATTCTACTGGGTGTAAAAATCATCAGCTAAATCTAACTGCAGTTTATATTTCATTATGAGAGTTTTACGTGGCATCAATATTAATCAATTGTTATTCTTCAAATCTAAAGAAATCAACTTTGAACGTTCAAGTCAGTCTCGAGAATATACCTATAGGGTAGGTTGAATGGACTGACGCCTATCGGAAAACAACTACTCCCCTGGCTAATACCACGAAGGGCATTGGATTATATCCGACAGGCGTCAGTGCAGGAATCTTCACAAAAAATTTCCTGCATATGCAATTGGCAATACAACTGAAAGAGTCGACCTTCAAATTTGGAACGGGCACACTTGCAGACCGGTTTCGGGCTCATTAGCCACTCATCAGTGCAAGATAGTGGCTATCATCGACCTAAAGTCAATGTTATTCCATAATTGAAAATCGAAATTCTTTCAGAGTATTTCATTCCTCTTTCTAAGTTGGAGCGAACAACAAAATGTCACTCCTTCTAGTGGACGAGATACTAACCAACTGCATATCCGAAATGTGCCCGACTTCTCTGAATAAGGAAGAAAAGACTTTCTTATTAGTCAGTGGGCTATGCTTGAAGACTGGCAGTAAACAAATCTAAAGAAATGAACTTTAGCCATGAACAAGCCAGTCTCGAATATACCTACACGGTAGGTAGAATTCTTCACTGATAGATTTATGAATACCCAGTCCGGCCAATCCTAAAATTACCATAACGCCTAATGATAAGAAATCATTCATTTCCTTATCTTTATCGTACTTTGCCGTATCAAAAACTATGTATAACTAAATCTCACAATCTCTTTAATGACAGGACAGTTGAAATGACTCTTTCATCAACGTTTCTCCTAGTGTTTTAAAAAATTTAAAATCTCACCATTACATCTCTTCATTACAAATGTCGTATTTCATCAAATTTTATATTTTCAGATTTGTGTGGTGGTTACCAGCTCTTCCATTCATGTTGGCCATCTTCATTTACGACGAGGTACGAAGATTTTATATACGACGCTGCCCTGGTGGTTGGTTAGAACAGGAGACCTATTATTAAGTGTTATATCAAAGTACTGCCATTCGGTGGAAACTGCGAGTCCCATCGGCCGCAGGTTAAATAGTTTTTTTCGATAGGAGGGACCTCGCGAAAATATCCAGAAACTTATATCAACACCGAAGAATCATCCATCATTTTCATACAGCAATCGAGACGATGTCTTTCCCTATTGATAATTGTACAAATACTGTTGCTAATTCTAGTAAATTTGCTGCTTGAGCAGTTTGATAGTTACGTAAGGCGTACAGGAGTGATTTGCGACTTAGTTGAGTTAAACTTGTACGCGTTAGCTATTTATTATATTAATCTCATGAATTTCGGTTGAAGAACATGTAATGGGTCTTGTGGCGGAAGAGCAAACGCGAACCACAACCAAAAACAATAAAACACACTGTCGATCAACCAATTTAGATGCAATAGTGGTTTCATACATTCCAGTTGAGAACTACAGTTGCCTTAGCGCTCTCATACAAGGTATGATGTTCGGTGGGGTGTGGGTCCAGGTGACAGCCGATCTCGTTGCCTGTTGAGGGATGTCACCCGGTCTCAACACATAGTAGCGTCGATGTGGGTGAATGAAGTTAGTATCATTTAGGCTTTCAACACTTAGGTTAGCTAGATTGTAACTGTGTTGTTATTCGTATTTAATGTCAACCAGGTCGTGCTCAATACATAACATGACTACTACTATCACGATTGTAATCGTCTGACAAGTCATTCATTTTTGTATATACTTTACCGTTTGAGCTCTGCGCCGTCGTACACAAGACGACGCTCAGAGCTGATCGTATTGTTATAATAATACACACTACATATTGAAAGTCTGCTTTAGTAGAGCGTTATTTTTTCATAACCAACCGCGCTCTGGTCTGAGACCAGTGGACCATGGTATTGTTATCTGATTGTAAATATTTTTAAGTGAATCACTTAATCATTTTTTTGCTTATGTTCTTTTCACATTCATGTTTTAGTACGTAAAGAAGCTGTATAAATTTGGTTGTAATAAAATGGATGATAGTAACATAGTTTTATTTTTATTTGGCAACCAAAGAGCAGCAATTCACAATTTCACACAATTACAGAAAACTATTTTCCTGAAAGTCTGACTTTTGATAACAATCAACCTCTTCTTTTTGAGGGCGCTAAACCTCCTAAAAAGAATGACTGGAAAGTCGCCAAGAAAGTTTTTATGGACTGGAACAGATTCGAAATTTTTCCCATTTTCATAAAACTGTATAGAGCTAGCCAGGTGTGAAATTACATACCACATGGCGGCAAGGGTGGTACAAGATTTGGGAGGATATAGGACGAACACGCATCTGTCCCTGAACAACCACCAATATGTTTATTGAACTGGCAAATTGTCGAATTTAGTCAGTGGAGCCTCCTTGTGGAGAAAAATTACCCAATCTTTCAACAATAAAGATATTGCAGCAGACGCATTCCTTGATATAGAAGAATAATTTGACAATACACTACTTAAATAAATCGAATCAGCCTGAAAAAGGCACAGAATCGACTATAACTATACTATACTCATAAACAAAATAGCAACTAGGACTCTTCAAGACGAGGCCATTAGGTTCTGGGTCACCAGGGACTGCCCTCTAGGTGGGATACTATAGCATCTCTGTGTGGTTGTTTCTGATGAATAGTCTGTTTGCTGTCCTCGACAGGAGAGGATCTGCAAGCTTGTGCAGATGTTTTCGTCATCTTCACAAGGATCCTGGCCGACATTCCTGTTTGCAAACCACAGCAGAACTCTAAACTTTCACGATGGATTTATGGAAACACCTGGTGCTGAAGGCTCAAAAAATCCATTAGATTCATATGATGAATGTCAGACATCGATTACATATGGAGCAATTGCCTGGTGGTAGAAGACTTGACAGCAAACAGCTCAGGTGAAACTTTCTATTATATACGCTATCTCCTATGCCATCCGACCAGACCCTGAGCGGCCATTCAAATTCTTATCGACCTAATTTCTCTCTACATCTTTCTGGAGAGAGAAGCTAGACGGGCAACAAAAAGGATGGTGAATATTACCAGTTGCACAAGATAGGAATAAGCGTAGAGTAGCGGACTATTGGCTGACACTGAAGATCATACTATTTTGAAAATGATCTTCAACAGTCAACTAATACGACCTCTGCCTCATACAGTTCTGATTCCGAGTGAAGAGGAATGGATCCACCGGGAGGAGGAGGAGGAAAAATCAGCAACATAGGTATTATAGAATCACAAACATCTTCAGGTTTAATCCAACCCACTCCAGTTTATTTCAATGAATGTTAGAAATATTCTCCATTCGCTCCATTTTATTTATTGAATTATGGACTTTTTATGGGTTAATTTCGATAGCTCCCTTCATTCTAACTCTTGAGTTCTGTAAAACATCCAGTAACGCCTTGTTAGATGATATAGCGGGCCATTCTAGGCAAGATCAGGACAAGGTCAATTAACCAAACCGGTAGGTAGGCAGATGTAGTTAATCTCTCAGAATAGCCTACAAAAACATCTGATATGGCGCCTCTAGATATTTTTGAGGGGATACATGACATCTGAAGTGGTACACAATGTTGTGTTTTTAATCTGAACCAAAATATCAGTTCATTGACTAGAGTAGGTCATAGTCTCATCTTATTTAAAAATTGAATGAATTCATCAACTTTCAGAACCTAGAGACTTCGTAGAGATCTAAATTTGAATACATTACGCAAATCAGATGTATAATAACTACTCTTGGCAGTCCGTTTTATAGATTCTCCATAGCTTTATTCTGAAGAGTTAGTAAAGGACCCATGTTGAGCTCCATATAATGTTCAAGGTGTGAGGGAATGAATGAATATTTTAGCATTAATCTTCGAAAAATATCCTCGACCCATAATTTTTTTGAAATATATTCAATATGTTTATACCAACAGAGTTTTTCATCTGTAATGAGACCAAGAAATTCAATTTCACTACTGTACTGCAAAAAACAGTTTTCAAATAATACCTACTTCATTTTCAACATCAGCGTTTATCCTACATTTGTCAACTCACGTCTGGGATGCTGACTATTTTGTCAAATATTTGAGATCCTTTCTGTTGTTCTAAATTTTAGTTTTAGACTCCCTATCTTCACCTCGACTTTAGTTGAAAATTCAGTACCTATTTTATAATGAGGTTGAAATGTACATCACCTGTCAGTCGACATTAGATTTGCAAAAGGTAAACATGTTTCTTGTCGATACTCTTATATACTATATAGGAATATTTTGTGTAAAGAATCACACGTTAAAAGGTAAGACCTCGTTAGTTCAAAGTATAACTCCGAGCAAGGAGAACTTCATAGGAATTCGAACGTAAATTATTATTATGGTCAATCATGATAATGCAGATGATAATAATGATTGACAATGTTTTATGCAGTAGGAAAATATTAACGAGAGTAAGAGGAGTTCGAATTTTTCAATTTTCAAATGATCTAACATCCTAAAAAAGCTTTTCTTAAACATTCTGAACATCCTCATAGTGTTATGATTCAAAAGTTTTCAATTAAGGCAAGAATTATAGCCATGCGCGGATATATTTCCTTATGGCTGTTCTTGTGTTTGTTCCTTCATATATGATTTCTGTTATAAACTGTACTAACTCAATGTTGTTGATGAATAAACATATTATTATTATATAATTGATTTCAATCAGTATCCTATTTATTATATCGTAGTTGACACAATGGTATTTAGTTTTTAAACGAATAAAGACATTGGAATATGAAAAACCTCTTGTAGTATATTCCAGGTGAAAAAAAAGTCAGTTGTGGTCGGAAGGTATAGTTTCAAATGAGTATCAATATTTGCAACCAAAATATGACTGCTCAACAGAGCACCATTCCCATTCTAATATGAAATGAATATTTGTACCTTCAATTAGGATTTCCAGTGTACTTGTTGATTTAGTGTATGCATTTATGGCCTCACACTGATAAAATCCTGAATCTGCCTTTGTTGCGTCCAGTATCGTTAACGTGTGAGAATCTGAAAAAAATAAAAAAATACGTTTACTAAAACATCCCTGTAGAGTGCATTATTAAGAAAAAACAAAAGGAAGCTATTCGAGCTATAGCAAAAGATGTGCTGCAGGTTAATAAATTTCCAAAAACTTCAACAGTTTCAGTTGCTATGAGGATTATTTTTTCAAGTATTCATTATTGGATCAAAACGCACTGTACTAGTTGAATCTCAAAACAAGTGATTGAAAAGTAATGGAATTCATTAATCTTTCCTATCTCGACTTCTTGAAAAAACAGTATTTATCATTTCTGCTCCTGTGAGTGTATATTCTATTACTGTAAATGAACCAAAAGTGGTACTTCTATTTTCCTTTTGGTTCAAACGTAACTTCTTTTTAAAAACTATCTGGATTGTTAATAATAATTCCATACCTGAAATTTGTATTTTTTCCGATGGGTTCAGTTGAATGCCATCCTTGTACCACTGAATTTGAGGTAATGGCCATCCTGTTACTGCACAAGGTACTTCTATATCGCTGCCAACAGGATACCTCTGGTCGCTTGTTGTAATGTTTGCTCTAACAGGAACTACATGAAAAAATATTACTGTTGTGAACAACTACAAGTAACTGAAAAACCATAAGGTGTTCAATGTAATGAAGAAAAAAGCAAATCAAGTTTCTTTATTTTCGATTGCAACATAATATTCTTTCAAATCGATGTATTAAATTGTTATTTGTGTTTTAAAGTGTTCAAGTGCTCAAGAAGTTTTTTTGAACTCAGTGCGAAAAGATATTGGATCTTTGGAACAACGAGATTTCTAGCGCAGTTCATTAGTTTCTCAAATAATTTCAGACATCCTATGTGACAAATTGACTGTCGGCATGTGTTTTGATTCAATCTTCCTCTTGAAGATGATCACTTGGTGATCGAAACATGTGTCGAGGTGTTAAAATAGGTTTTGATGTTGGGATAAAACTCCAGTAATATACTGTTAGGTTAGAAAGGAACATTTTCATATGTCTCATTCTGGAACTGTATATCTCACTAGAAATGTTCCTCCAGAAGTTTACTTTATTTCTTGTTTTCAGTTGCCTGAAATTCTGAAGGATCGTTTGCAGTACTAAGCTAAAATATTACACTAACAAATATGGCTTAACACCATGGGTGTCTCCAGTCCTTTCACCTATATTGCATTTTTGAATACGTTATAGCACCCATCTGGCTGCATTCGTATTATACCTATGCAGACAAATTATCATAGTTGATGATTGAAACATGTTAAAGGTAGGTAGGGTAAGTAGGTCTGAAGAAAATGGGTCCGTTCGACCCTCCACTGCCAGTCTCGAGTGTTTTTGTAGCTCACATCTCAAAATCGACCAAATCAATCCAGCTGCTGAATGAAATCGAATACTTCATTAGGAGAGTTGTCTCTCAGGGTACGTGGCAAGAGTGGAGCTTTGCCAAATGCTGAAATCGTAATCAGGTCTGCATATATAATCTGTAACAATGGTAAATTTTCCTCTATCTAGTGAGCACTTGATCGCCAGTCAGTCTGCGACTACTTTCGTAGGTTAAGCATCACAAATGTGTGACTTGGGACGTAAGTCTCCTGTGAAGTATTTTATGAAAACGCTTCCCTGGCTGCAGGGTAAGAACTAGTCCTAGCAGTTGGGGAATGCACTCCTGACAGTCTGTGATAACCTGTGGATCATCTTCTGGACTACAGAACCTTTCCCATTAGAGGAAATCTGAATACAATTATATTCAGCAATGCAGGGCTTTTTTACCTCTACTTTGGTTGAAACATGTTTCAGCATTAGCGTTTGCTGACCTACCTAGTAAATGGTTGTTTTTTCTCTTGGTGGAGATTCTGCTTTTACTGCCCAAAAACTTGGTGCAAGGCAGATTATTAAGATATTCTGCTCTTGAGGGGACGACAAGTTGTTTCCTGTCTAACCCACTAGGTTTGTTAACAAGATCAATAATTGTTGACCTGAGACGCTTGATCCGATGTCACAAGCAGGTCAGTTGCATGGCCTGTATGGCCAATAAAGGGTTCGACAATTAGTTGGAAAAAAGGTCTGTCACGGCAGAGCCCCACATTGTAGTGACAGTGTAGTGTGTGCTTTATACGACGAAAGAGCGCCAAGTATCTCGAAGGTTCCGTTAGTAAAAGTGATAACAGATACACATACTTCAGGATGAATCATCATTCAGCAGGTTCCTCATGAAACTAATCATTTTATAGGCCTTCATTTTGACTAGAAAATTTTGTTATCAATACCCTTCGATAAAAAAATTCTACAGGTTCAACTTAGATCTCGTTTCTAGCTTTTACCGTTTATATTGAACACCTTATGATGAATACAAGACAACATGGACAAAAGAGGTGAATTCTCTAGTAAATTATTCATTCGTGAAAAAGTTATTAGTAAAAGAACATTCAAAAGTTAATCATAAGAAATTAGTATTACAAAGAAATGTTAATCAACTCATGCATTACCAATAAAACCAGCTTGGTCCACTGATCCAGCAGCATCCGGATATTCTGGTATTATCTCATTGGATGGTTCGGTATAAGGAAGAAGTGGGAAAGGTTCCGAGGGAGGTACATAGGGCGGATACCTCGGAGGTGGAGGAGGAATGGTGGTAGTAGTGGTTGTAGTGGTACTAGGCGTACTAGGAGTGGGCTCTTCCGGAGAGTCAACAATGTACTGTTTGTATATCAGTTCACTGGGATTGGTGAAGTGGTACGGCCCTCTTGCCTTCACTATCACAGACCAACTTGCAGCGGTACCGTATCCGTTATAGGCTTGACATGTGTAGATTCCTAGGTTATGTAGTTTGACGGAATGAATTAGTAGAGAGTTATCAGACCCAATTTTGAATTCGTTATTATCATATGGAATTAAAGAGTCGTCCTTCCACCAAGTTACTGCGGGGAAAGGATTACCGAGGACAAAACAGTTCAGAGATGTTGGAGCGTTGAGGGAAACAATTAGTGGTAGCTCGTCTTCTGCTCCCTCCAACATTGTTGCTGGTCTAGGTCCTGAATCTAGTGGTAGGGTGAGAGAAAAGTTAGTCGAACCACATACAGGAAAGTTATTGATTACTAGCAGTTCACACAAGTTGTTATGATGTAGAATAAATTAGAATTTTGTTATTAGTACCTCCACCATATGTTACTAGTATTTACACAACGAGCATTACTTCAAACATTAACTTGTATGAACTTTGTTCTGGAAGAAAATACGGTTTTAAAATACCCACATGATCTTGCAAACACAGCATGCAACCTTTACTCAAAGTGTCAATAAACATCTGAGACTTACCTAAGACATCTAATCTGATTTCGTTAGTAATTGGATCCCCGATGCCATTATCCGCAGTACAGAGATATGTACCAGAATCTGTCTTATGTAAAGTGATGATCTGAAGTGACTGATCCAGCCTAATTCTGTATCTTGGTTGTGTTCCATCAATCTGAAAAATCATATAATTCAACACAAATTTAGGTGCTACTTTCTAGCCTAATAACCAATCTTCGAATACTGAAAACTATATAATGAAGAAGGCAGTGCATTTTGAAAAATGCTGATCAGTGTCCCAGTGGGGTGATGACATATATTTGACTCATTATAAACCATTATTATAAGAATGTATTCAGTCTCTTCTTCCATGTGAGGTATGACAATTTCTGACATTTGGTACAATACATACAATACTGCAATACTGAATCCTATTTTCCACCAACAGATTGTTATGAGGTTCTCTCTCACTGTTTTAGGTATCTAATGGCAAGATGAAATTCATTCAAAAAAGTGAAAAAACTTATGAAATATGAAAATTCGTTTTGTAGTTCTGATCATTAACGGTATATCTCTTTTTATGGATCCTTGGTGTAACACTTAGTTATTTATCTTCCTAGCAAAATCTAACTTTCATCAATTCATTCAAGCATTTAGGGCTATGATTTGCTATTTTGTTGGTTCCTCTACTACTATTACCTAATGTAGTTTCAAACCTTTAATAATAATAATGAACAGTGTCGACCAATATTAACTTACCTCAAGATTTTCTTTACTCCAACTGATTCTGGGATTGGGGTTACCAGAAACCGCACATCTCAATGTTGCTTGGTCGCCAAGAGAGGCTGATACTTCGGGTTTGAATTCTTCTGGATCCAGTTTGGGCGCTTGAACTGAAACACAAGATTTGAGATATCGCATTGGTTTGAAATAAGATAGCAGATTCAAGGTTGAATATTTCAGTATAAAATTCCCAGTTTCACTTCGGTTGAAATATGTGAGTAAGAATCTTCATGACCACTTTCATAACAATAATAATGTGGTTACGTCATCAAAATTTTCATTTCGCGATCGGTTGGAGTCACGATTGCAGAGAACAAAATCCAGTCTAGTAGGCTACGGAATGGAAATTGTAGCACCTACCAAACGTTTCGTTTACTACTGCGGCATATATCTTTAGTGAAATATGCAGCAACAACTGACTGGTGAGCTCCGTGATCACTCGTATTTACACTTCTAGTAGCAAGGGAGGCCAAGAGGGGATTTTGGGATTTACTCGAGCGCGACAGATACACATAGGGTGGGATACCATGCAACCTGTTGGAGACAAATATGAACCCTCAATTAGAAGCCGGGCCATTACGATTATAGCATGCATTACCTCAGCTGAAGTAAAGCATGCAGTATCTCAGCTGCACGCTCTAATTGTAATGAACGATTTTGATTACTTACCTTAATTAGACGCATTCCAATATTTCTGATGAGCAATTTTTTTTATAATTCTGACGGGCTGCCCTACTCACCCTGCTCTCAATTGAGGGTTCATATATGGAAGCCTGCTTCAACAGGATGCACGGTATCTCCTCCTATGTTCATTTGTCGCGCTCGAGTGAATCCCAAAATCTCCTCTTGGGCTCCCCTACTATAGGGAACGGCAGCTTTGCTTGTGTTGTTATTTCTAGTAGTATGGTAGCAGCGATGTAGCAGCTACATCGCTGCGATGTAGCGATGTAGCAGCGATGTAGTTCCGATGGTAGTTCCGATGTAAACTGAGTCGGAAGAATCAGAAATCCAGTAAACGACGGCAACTGATAGTGCTGTGTTAACACGTTTTAACAGGTTTCTCATACGATTCGTGACATTGTTTATGCAAGGCAATCGCTGGAGGAAAATGGAATATGTTTTTCTAGGAAATAGACAATGTTTGATTTCTTGCTTGCACAATAGACTGCGCTTGATATTCCTAAGGCCTTTGACCGTGTGTGACATGAGAGTTTGTTGGCCAAACTTCGATGCTATGGCTTGTCGGATCACTTCTGTGTATGGCTCTCCAGCTTCCTGAAAGAACGTTCCCTGCAAGTGGCCGTCGATGGATATCTTTTGAATACTTTCACCATCAACGCTGGTGTTTCCCAGGTGTCTCCGAACCGGATATATTAATGTCAGGTCAGACATTTCCATTTTCTGCTTCAATAAGTTTGTTAGGGGTTAAAATGGACACCAATATATCTTGGTAAACAATCATGTCGCTGGAATTGCAAAGGCTGCTTCTCAAAAGCTTGGAACACTGTTCCAAACCAGAAAACTGTACACACCTCCGCAATTTTTGATGCTCTATAACGTTAGATCAGACCTTTTTTGGAGCATTGTTCTCATGTATGAAGCTCTGCCCCCAAACATCCCCTCAAGTTGCTGGATTCCATCCAGAAAAGAGTTATCCGCCTGATTGGAGACGCGAACATCACGTGCAATGTTAATAGCCTGGAACATCTAAAAAAGGTTGAAGATTGGTCTCTTTTCTATACTTATGATGCACTGTTTGGAACCTTTGGTGTAGTAATGAATATTAATGGATTTTTTTCCCAACACCAAAACGTTATTTTTAACACCTCGACACTTGTTTCGATCACCAAGTGATCATCTTCAAAAGGAAGATTAAACTCAATTTAATTTATTCTTCCTCTTGAAGATGATCACTTGGTGATCGAAAATCAGTTTAATTTAATCTTCCTCTTGAAGATGATCTCTTGGTGATCGAAACACGTGTCGAGGTGTTAAAAATAACGAATTGGTGTTGGGAAAAAACTCCAGTAATACTCTTTTCTATAGATAATGTCACGGGAAGTCTTCAAGTGACTTGGCGGTACATATCAGAAATACGCGACGGACTGTGGCTGCTCATCGCTACTTTCTCACAGGCATCGCTCTGAAAGCGCCTCAAGGATTTTCCTATAGTGCTTGTGTTTTGTCCTTGAAAAAAGAGCTTGGTCTAGACGACGAAGTTCTTCTTCACGAAGATATGGTTGACAAATTCTTATGGCACGATGAATGAAGGTTTTCGTCATACACAATTTTGCCGTGGATGGTGGTTTGAGTTCATGTTGAGATACCGATCAGTATGAATAGGTTTACGATGAACTATGTGACCTAGTTTCCCGATAGTTCTTCGTTGACCGGTACATCCAGGAATGGTAGCATTATTCCGTTTTTCTTTTCAATGACAGACTCTTTGTGATGGTGAATGGGGTTGTGGTGGCGTAAAAACTTTTTTATATTCTAATTACGAGAAATTGTGCTTCAATCAGCTTCAAATAATGGATTCCTATCAACTTACTTGGCACCACAACTGGCTGATCGGTATAAGCTGGTTCAGGGCGCTGAGTGACTAACTGAGCAGGTGTTGGATCGACACAAGCAGTACCGCAACCGGTGGAACAGCATTTCAAGTGCATGGTACAATCAGCGTCTGTTCTACATTCTTCTTGGCATTCTTTGTCGTTATTCAACAGCAGATTTGGACAAGATCCTTGTTTGACACCTAGAAAAAAACAACGATAAATCATAGCTGCTGCTTAAATATTATCTACAATACTACATGCGAAAAAATAAAAGTATAATGATGACGATGATGGACGTGCAACACTTTGCTCAAGAGTTAAATTTTTTTAAGAGTCTATCCTATTTTTCTCTTCCCTTTTGATGGTGTTCAACACTTTACAAAAATAAACTTCCCCTTTTATTTTCATTGATATTTAGGATAGTTATCAGTATTTTTGATCTATTTTTTTGTATATATTTATTTGAAAGTAATGAAGACGATTATTATTATTATTATTTAACCAATGGTTCAACCAAATCAACAGTATATTTGTTCTAACAAAAGTATGACGTGAATCTTTGAATCAACATTACTTCTTATCTATATACCGATTGTGAATGAAACTCTTAATGTTAATAGTACACTTATTCAGTCTTCTGTGCTTGCGTGCAAACCCTAAAATTGAATTGAATAGTTTCAAAATTGCGGAAGGGTTCGAAACCCTAAATCTCCCTTTATTCACCTCTTTGTAAAAAACATAAAGCAATTATAGTATGAAATCAAATCAAATTGTATCAGATACTGATTGAGATATTTTTTAAATGAAATTTCATTTTTCGCAAGTTATTGATGGTTTTCGTACCAACTCTAACAGGTGCTTCATGTGAAAAATCAATTTTGCAATTGTGTTTGCAGATACTTTTTCATGACATGATACTATTCATACTCATAAAAATCTACAAATTCAAAAACATATATACCAGCAAGGGTCAAGAAACTGAGATTTATGAAAGTGTCTCCACACGATTAATTTTTTAAAATTATCTTTTCTGTGAAATGAATACGACATCGAAATTCCTCAAAGAAATGTCAGTTCCATATGAAAGATGGAGATCAGAGATCAAATTCTCTGTTGTGATTCAATTTGAATTAGTGTAATATAATTTAAGCACAAGTCACCGAAAATACCTATGACGAGATAATTTATTAGATTATCATGAAAATCACAAACTGGTTGACCTCTCATTACCATTAACATCTGGAAGAATCCAGAAATCCATATTCGAACATTTTGGAAAAAAACTGTTTGTTAGGATAATGAGCCTTAAAGTTTACATTTTTATGTGAGAACAAGATTTTTCCCGTCTCAAACTATCAGAAAGTTTGTCAGTTTCGATATAATCGTTTACGATTATGGGGTCCAATGATTTTTTAATATCAATCTGGTTATTTCATAACAGCCTACTATATTTCATTCTCAAGTATATTATTCAACAACGAGAGCAACTCACGTTTTCTGCAGATAGCTATGAAGTCTGCGTCTTGAGAAGATGTTTTGTTCATGTTGATATCGATGGCGCATTGTTCATCTTCAGGGCATTCAACACCCATGCAAGGATCCCTGCAGCGACATCTATTGCAGTCGTTCTCATCAACGTATGGCTCGACGCCGTAAGGACACATTAGTGTTGTACACTCGTTGAAAGTTTCTTGACACGATCTTGTTGGATCTTCTGTCACTACAGGTGGTGGAACTGAAAATGTTAAAGTTGTAATTTAGGAGGAAGTTGAAAATAAGTACTTTTTGCTAGTCTCCTAAAGAAATAATAGTGTTGGAAATCATGCTCGAAAAAAACAAACGTCGACCGCCACTGGTAACCATAAACCAAACGTGACGTAGCTAAGAGAGCGCGAATGCACAATGTTTTCTGCTGCTCTAGAAGCAGCGAGAATAATGCTACCGATTTCTACGGAACTTCGGTGAAACTACGGCATTCGATTACGATATTTAAACGCTAGTCACGAGTATATCGAGACAGTCAAGTGGACGTTACAGTGCGGTATGCGATTGATAAGTTTAAAATGCATTGTTTTAGAGCTTTTGTATGAAAACTACTTGATTTTCGTCAGGAGAAACATTTCCCATTGGAAAGTAGCTGTGAGTTTTATCAACCAAGTAGGTCTCTTCAATCGAGATCACCTTCTCTGAGTGAACTTTTCCAACTCCAACTTCCGGGTACAATTATACTTCAAGAGAGGTATGAGTATTTTTTTCAAGGACAAACACAAGCGCTACAGCAAAATCCTTAAGGCATTCTTAGAGTGGTGCCTGTGCGTAAGTAGTGATTCACATTGGATTTGAATCGCTGGAGATTAAATCCATTTGAGAAAACTTTCTCAGGTTTATTCCACATAAACGCAGTTCTCCAAGTGAAAGAGTTCTTAAACAGTGAAGTTCGAGGTATACTGAGTTGAACCTCAAAACGATGAGCATCCACAGTCCGTCGCGTATTTCTGATATGTACAGCTCCTGCTGGAATCAAATGTGCCAAGTCACTTGAACACTATCTATAGAAGAGAGACAAATCTCCAATCTTTCTTCGATGTTCCAGACTATCAAGGTTGTGAGTGATGTTTGCGTCTCCAATCAAAGGGATGGCTCTTTTCTGGATGGAATCCAGCAGCTTCAAGGTGTGTTTGGGGGAGGAGCTCCATACATGAGTACAGTGTAAAGTTTTTTGGTTTGGAACAGTGTTACAAGCTTTTGAGAAGCAGCCTCTGAAATTCCAGCGACATGATTGTGCCAAGACATATTGATGTTCATTTCAACCCCCAACATACTTATCGAAGCAGAAAGCGAAATTGTCTGTCCTGACATCATTCTATCCGGTTCGGAGACATTTATCTTTTTGGAGAAAACCGATGGTTGGCTTTTTGTGGCCTTGAATTGAACATGTTTACTTTCACCCCAATTCGAAATCACTTCTAGGTCCTCATAAAGATATTCAATCACGTGCTGCCGGTGAAGATGTGCTCTCGCAGCCGATGTCCTGGAATCCAAATGTAATGATGAGACAAGTATGCTGTCGTCAGCAAAACAATATATTGGATTCTTGGTTTTTTCAATAGGTCGTTGATATACGATAAAAGTATGGTTGGAGACAATAAGTATGGATCCCTGGGGAACACCAGCGTTGATGGACAATCAGAAAATGGACGAAAGTGTGTTTTTGTAGTGTATCCTCAGTGAACATGAATTTCCACAAAATGAGCAAGTCGTCAATCAAAGAAGTAAACATTCTTGGTTTATACTTCGAAGAATAAAAAAGTACTCGAAGAAAATGTAAACATTAAGCTCCTCCTTTAAATAAAACAAAGTGTGTGTGTGTGTGTGAAATATCATCGAAGACCTATTGAGGCCTTTATGTGTGACAAACGGTTTCTCTGGGTGGAGCGCTTTCGAAACGTCGAATTTTCCACGACTCTGGCGCATAAATCAGCTGATTTGACCGCTGGCATGTGTTATGATAGTTTAGAGATCAGCTGTGGTTTGTGGCTTATTCGCATACACCTGCTAGTTACGAAAATCCCACAAGAAAAAGTCTATGGGGGTCAAATCGCACGATCTCGGTGGCCAGTTCACATCATCTCTACGTGAGATGATCATGCCTTCAAATCGCTCGTGCAGAAAAGCCTGTATGGCACGAATTGTGTGGCACATGCCCTTGGTGTCCAGATCATCCAAATCAGGCCAGAAGAAGTTGACAGTGATGGCCTGGCCAACGTCGCTCTCAAATAAATATGGACCGATGGCGTTTTTGCCCAAAATCCACACCAAACAGTGACGTTTTCGGGATCCATAGAACGGTATTAGATCTCATGTGGATTGGTATCGTCCCAATTTGAACAATTTTGTTGGTTCACGTATCCATTTATACAGAAATGGACCTCATCGATGAAGATAATTTTTTTATGGAAATTAGGTTCAGAACACACGTCTATGGTCGTTCACCTTCAGTTCCTGGGTCAGTTAAGTATTGTACGGGTGCAGAAACATGTCAGGACGCAAAATTCACCAAGTTGTAGTATGCGAAAGGCCGAATTCTTGTGAGCGCCGCGAAATCGACTGTCTCGGGTCCTCCTGCACGTTCTCGCAGACAGCGGCGATGTTTTCGGCGGATCTTGCGTTTCGTCGGCGTATGGGTGTTGGTCGATCGTTTACTCAACCAATTGTACTGGTTCAAATTTATCAGTCACATTACGAATAGTCGTCTCGACAGGACCGTAAAATAGGCGATGAGCGGAACGTTGCCTGAACGCAACACCCATTTTGATATCCGTCCATAGTGATTTGGCAAAACAGACTGAATAAATGATAACTAATTTGACAGGTGACAGATGACAGTTAATAATTGTCAAAGTTCGGAAGTTCCTGTTGAAAGACCTTTTAGCAATACATTTCATAAATTATTTCCGCTATGAGTTACCCTTATTTATAAATGTTTTCATAATGAATAGTTAGAACTTCACTCCAAGATTGATCCTTAAAAAACCTGAACTAGAGACCATAACTCAACATTTATCAGATTCTATTCATATGTCGTTTCTATCTAAACGTCATTAGGCGCGTATCGACGAATAACAAAAAACATAGAATTAGCTGTCGATAGATTAGCATATCAGTAGTCATTATTCAATCGTGTTTGATGAAGGTTTGCAGAATTATGAAAGCTGAAAGGTGCTCTGTGATTTTTGGTGCAGTGCGATGACACACTTACTGAATTCAGTTCGAGGCAACAGATGGCCACAGAAATCAATACAAGCTTGGTAAGATTTGAAAGTGTTGAAATTCCCTCCACAGCCTGAGTAAATGAAAGCAAGACATTCTCCTCGTTCATCATTGAAGTACCAACGTTTGTGGTACCCTCCCTTGCAAGAACCTTGATCTACTTTTAGTTGACATATAGCTACAGAAAATAGAAGGGTTAGAACAGAGTTCATGCTCAATCCACTATTAGTATCCATTAGCCGATATGTACAAGGCTGAGTTTCTATGACACTGAAAAGACCTACCTGTATTTGAGATGTTCGGTTTGGATTCTTCGCGTATGACACAAATATGCTCGCACTCTTCGCTGGAACTAAATCGGTTTCCGTTTCCTAGGCAACCTCCATAAGCAAATTGCTCGCATCGACCAGAATCCTTGTTGTAATAGTATTTGATGAAGTAACCGTAGCATGGACCAGGATCTCTCTTCATTTCACAGATAGCTGCAATAGAGATCAATATTCAGTATCACAACATTTATTTCTTGCTGATCAACTCCAATTTACAATATATTTAGCATCAATTTACAATGTGAAGTTCAGCAAATGCTGCCTCTAACTTCTAGTTGGATTATGAGGAGTCAACTAGATTTATATTCGGAATTGATTACGACCCAGTCGTTAGAGGGGTGAAAAATGATCTAAATCTAATCATACAATAAATCAATAGTCACGATATTTTTATATGTTTTTGGATGATTGGAGAGTGAAAAATCTAAGTTTTCGCCATTACTCCACACTGCGTCTCACACCACTTTTAAAAAACCACCAAAAAGGGTACTTTTCTTCAGTTTTTCGATGGAACTTTGAACTCTCAATTGCTGATAGATGTGCCACATATATTGAAACTTAAAAAAATAAATTTTATACCAGAGTCAATCAAAGTCAGTCTAAGTTTTTCTCGCCCATTACTAGCAAAGAGGTTCAGAGGAATGAAAAAGGATTTAAATCGTGATTACGGATCGGTATCTTTGTAGCGTTTTGATTCAATGAAGAACTGATTTGGTAGATATTCTCACTGTAGTGTATTAGGAAAATTATCGGGTATGTTTCTGCAGTTCGTTCTGGAATCATAATTCGCTGCCAAAGCTTTTACCCTTGCCGACCATTCTGAAACTGTTTCGTTTTCCAGTTTTTTTTTGCAGAAAAGAAATTCAATCTCTAGAAATGATTAACTTCACTAGCGCGACAAAATCAGAGTTTTTTCAAACACTATATAAGTTTTGGTTTCTGGCGTACATACATTTCGCAATAACACCAAGTTTTCTCACTTAAGCTGGTGACATACTTCGCGATTTCCGAGCGGATTTTCCAGCGCGGTATCCGAGCAGTTTTTTGTTTTTATGTCAACCCCAGTATTCAAATGGAACATGACAGTGTTCGCGATTTTCAACAGCGGCGATTTTTTACAGCCGACCGATCGTCGGAATCCGAGCGACAATTGGAGGGCAAGGGCGACCAAGTAGAGGGAGAACCCAGGTAACCTAATGGGACCCGACAATGTTGGCTATACCCAAGCGGTTTTTCAGTTGCGATTCGAGCAAAGAAGTGAAAACTTTATTTCGTAGCGTATAAAATCACCCTTGTTTGTGGGACAAATGCGAGTATGTACTACAAGTATGTATTTTGTTTTTATGGTGCAATATTTCTGTAGCAAAGGTCGAACAATTGCCACAAGTTCATCGAACTACTTCATGGACATTTGGTAATTTGGTACGGGTAATTTGGCACCCGTTGGTACGGGTGCATGTTGTACGTCCTTAGGCGGCGTCCTCCAGCAATATCGCCTTCTGCTTCCAAAGCGCAAAGAGATACCACCATTTGATGGTGAAATATCGCAGCAGCAGCAGACTTCATAGTGGTTGCTTTGAAGCCGCGAACGGTACTAGAGAACGACAAGGGAACATATACCTTCCAGTCAGAAATCCGGACTGCCAGGAAATCGCTCGGAAACCGCGCTGGAAAAAACCGCTCGGAAATCGTGAAGTATGTTACCGGCCTTAGTGAATACAAAATAAATTCCTTCTTTTTATTCTCATCGTCAACTAAATCTGCGATAAAAAATTGTTTTGAAACTAAAAACTGTAAAGTTGGACACTTTGTAATTATATTCATCAATGTTGTATAGCAATAACGAATTTTGGTCTGACATTTTCCTTTTTCACTTCGGTTTTACAAATCCTCGTCGCTAATTGTTGTGTTTTGGGTAAGAATCAAATAATTGTCTAATCCTGGTCATTTAAGAAAACATATTCGGTCTGCAATACATTCGGGCCCAGGAGCCTTTTTTACCTGACGGATTGCAGGAGCGTACTCGATTGTTTTCTACAATGCGCTACTAAGTTTCAAGTTGCAATAGCCACCAAACGCCATATCTCGAAAAGAGAGAAAAAGGTGTTTTTCGGGTAGGATCGAAAATTGTTATTTGGTAATTTCCTCTCATTCATTTCACTTTTAAATTATTTCTTACTCATCACTCATCTGTTTAAACGATAAAATAATTACGACAACTCATCGAAGACGAACATCTAGTGAATCTAGAGATAAAAATTTCGAAACATATTCCTCTCTTCGAACTTACCTACACAATAGGTTCTGCTTAATGCCTGCCGAAAAACAACTAATTCCCTGGCTAATACCACGCTGGATATTGAATTATATCCGACAAACATTCATGCAAGATACCTCACAGAGGTTAGTTTTGCAGATGTTTTTCGTTCATCCAACAGCAGGATCATGCCGAAATCAATCGAGTAGATCATCTACAGACCGATAGGTATTACCTCTCATATGTACAGGAAAATTCGACCCCAAACAGCAATGTGCCTGGGCTCGATTGATTTCAATTGATTTGATTGATTTGTTCATGAAATGGAGCTGTAACTTGGACGAAGGTTTCATACATGCAGTCGAGCCGCGTTTGGATCGGATATTTCTTACTGATAATACCTCGATATACCCGATTGATTTCGGCATGGTTCCGATGTTGGATTATCGAAACAACTAACCTCTGCTGTAGGCATCTTATATAAATGTCTGTCGGATATAATTCAATTTCTAGCGTGGTATTAGCCAGGAGAATAGCTATTCCGGCAGGTCTTAACCAGAACCTACTGTGTAGGTGAGATGAGAGAGATGGATATTTCGATATTCTGTTTCGAAATATTTATTTTCTTATACGTGTGTAACGTACGCATGCAAGTATAAAAAAAGTAAGGGATTAGTCAAATGGATATATTTTCCTGGAATGTAACCAAGCGGAACATGGGAACCTTTTTTTCTCATATAATAATATGAATAAATTAAATCGAACCTAATAGACGACACACGCCTAATGTCCGTCATATGTTTGCCAGTCTATCATATTTTCATAGGTAAGATCAGTAACCGCTCATGGTCATACCACAATGGAATAATACAACCAGTTCCGTTCTGTAGTATCGTAGGATTCGACGGTACCACGGGCATCGGATAATAAACGGTTGGAAATTGATAGTATGTTTAGTTTATTCGCTGTTGTTATTATTCTTTTCAGTTTTTCTAGTTGGTTGTAACTAACCACAAAATCTTCTATAATATCCTCAAATTTCGTTTTTATATGAGCGTACGCCTATGGTAAAAGAACGAAATTGCCTCCGCACTTCGTTTCGAGGACACCGAGAACTTTGTGAATTCATGAATGAAACTAGTGGGAGTGGACTTACTGGTTGATATTTACTATGGTCATACCTTGTCCCCTGAAGACTCCACACTGGCGCTCGCATTGTTCTTCGCTGTTGAATCTGTTGTCATTGCCTCCACACCCGGTGTATGTGAATGGAGTACATTTTGAGGTCATCCTGTCATAGAAGAAAGCAACAGAATCACCACTGCAGTTGCCAGGATCGGCATCTCGAAGACACATGTCGATTTGAACTGAAAAGAGAACATCAGTATTAGTCAGGCATCTTGTTGAGGAGGTCAATTAATTTTTATATCCAGTCTTTTTTCTATAGGGTAATGTCAAAAATCTATCATATTTTCGTTTCAAGTATTTTCGTCGCTATATACTGCAGTATAGCGAGACGAATATCGTTCAAAAAGGAAACTTAAAGGCCTTGCTTGGAGTAGGTCCACTCGCTGAAAATTTCAAATTAACAATTCAACGAATGAAAGATCATAGGAGTAGTGTTTCTTGAATATGAAAACTATTTCCGATTGCAAACCATTTTTTGACAGAGGGCGTGAGTTAAACAACGATATGAAGTGTTAAATTTGGAAGAAAAACTGTCGAAACTCAATTTTTTGGAATGCTTGGGAATCACTAGAAAATTTACTGAATGACTGAATAGAATTGAATACGTCTCCTCCATTGAATTAAGATTAATTTCTCCTAAGATTCATCCCTTTCAATTTAAACTATTTTTGTTATATCTATCGATTGCTGAACCTCAAGTTAAATAATCAAAAGATCTAAGTGCCCAGAGTTATTTCAACGTGAACACGAAAAATTAAAAACCTTTGAAAATACTGTTGTAAATCATGCCCTAAAGAAAATAACACCGGCCGCCACTGGTAGCCATAAGCCAATTGTGACGTGGCTAAGAGCGCGCCCAGTTCGACCGTCTTTTCGCGAATGTTTGATGTTCGCTGCCGCTCCAGATGTGGCAAGAATAATGCCACCGGCTTCCATGGATATCCAATGAATTTACTAGCGACTTCGATTGCCAAATATAAACGCGATCCACTCGCCTATCGAGACAGTCAAGTGGAAGTGACAGTGCGGTTCGCGGAGCGATCTACTACGGCGATCGACATTTGAATAATAGTTGAAGATTTAGTTAAAGTGTTTTGTTGTATTTAAAATGAAATAAAGTTCAGTTTGATTATTGTTCAGTGTAGTCAATTATTTTTGCCATGGGGAAAAACGTAACAATACTCATATGATACTCACTTGGTGGCGCCTGTGTTTCGACATGTTCTGGATGTGTTTTCTTGCATCTTTGTTCACAAGATGCTTGATCTTGGAATCTATTGTAGTTTCCACCACACCCACCGAATTTGAAAGGTTGGCAAGAATCGGTGGCTGGATCGAAGTAGTACTGAACGTAGGTATTGTTGCAAGGTCCAGGAACAGGAGGCAGGGTACAGAAATCTGGAATAAATACGAATTGAATTCTTTCATTGGTAAAACAATCCAGTTCAGTGAATCCGAACTGAAAAAGGCTAAGACCTCAAATCCAAGTGAACTTAAATTCCAAATTTTGGCGTGGAAAATGCAATACCTTGGCCGCCATTTCAAATATGAGGTAGTGATAAATTTTTTGGGCATTATCTCGTGAACTTAAGAACCATGATTTTTTGGGAAAGAAAGTTTTTGGCTTTCTACTACTCCATCTGATACAAAAAAATGGATGAGGGAATCTTCCAAAGAAAGGAAGGATTAATCAATTTGAAAATAAGTAACTCTATACATGGATGTGTAGATCATGCAAAGAAGTAACTTTCAGACATTGTTGTAACTTGTCAAAGTGAAATGTAATGAAAAATGAATTTGAAATTACAGGAGGGTAACAATTTTCTCTTTTGATTTCATAAATTTATCAAAGTATTAATTTTTTCAAATATTGTTTTTTCATTAGTTGGGAAAGGTACCAAAAATTTCTTCGTAAATGAACAATTTACTTGTCTCCCTTGATAGCGTATTCATTTTGAATGTGTCTGTGGTTGTATGAGTTTCATTTAGTCAGTCCTTATTTTCGTATCTGTGTTGTCTGTTATTTATATTTTAACGTTTTTTTTAACATGGATAAACTAATGTTTGGTGAGTCCACCTGTTTGTTTTTCTATTACAAAATATAAAATTAGTAAGAACTATATTAATTTGCAATATGTATTGGCATGTATACTGTTTCCTTATGAAATGTTTTATTATGGAGCCATGATGATGGATTTAATAAAGTATGAAACGTTAAAAGGGCAAAAAACTATATTGTTCATCTTCGAAGACATTTTTGATCCATTTGTCAACTAATAAAGAAAATACATCATTTGAAAATATTATTTGGATCACCAAACCTCGCAAGGATTCATGCATTTCAAACATGTTTTAACATGACCTTTATTTGATGATATTTTTTAAGATATTCAAAACACGGTTATGTAACGTTTATGAAATGGTTAATGAATTTGTAACGAGTATCACAAACTTCACAAAAACACCGTTTTGCATTTCCTTTTTGGATAAGTAATAGATATAATATTTACTTTCTTTCTTTTTCAATTAGGATAATTATTATTTCATATTTTCTAACTTATTCTAATTGGACGTGATTCATTTAAAATCATTTATTTTATATTATTTGTACTCGGATAGTTCAACTCGTTTGTTTATAAAAAAATACGAAAAAATACGATAAAAAGGTCTATTGAAAAGGTATACCTTGGGCACTGCCGCAATATTGAAGACATTGTTCTTCGCTTTCAAATTTGTTTCCGTTGCCACCGCAGCCACCGTAGATAAATGTTTTGCACACGCCATCTGAGCTGTCATAGAAATATTTTCTGAAAGCTGCTCTACATCTTCCGGTCTCGTGTGGTAAGAAGCACATTTCTGTGAAAAATACATGATAGATGAGATCTGCTTATTTTAATCTTTATTAATTTTAGCTGTTTCTGTTTTTTTATTAACCGATTTTTTCTTAATGTGAAATAATATTTTGTGTTTTTTTTTTGAGGATTTCCATGCTTGATTGATTGATTGATGCAGTGTAATTATGGAAATGATTTTGAATAATCTTCGCAAGGTAGAAACGAAATGATTCAAGAAATATTGTGAACGTCAGCATTTTATCGATTACAGTACCTACAGGCCGTTTTTTTATCATGTGGTTTATTGCTATATTCTTAACCGTAACAGATACGAAGACGATTAAATGAGAAAAAAGGTAACTGTCATCGGGAACAATATAATGGTCGAAGGAAATTTACGGGGACTGTTTTTTTGGGATGAAATTATTATTTCGGGGAAAATAAAAAAATGGAAATTGTATTCGAAGTGAACTATGTACGGTCCTGTCGTTATTTCTTTTGAAAAATTTTTACGATTTCTTCAAAACATAATTCAGACAATCCAATAAATTCGACAGGTAGGAACCCAAACACAAGCAAATATTACCACATAAAAATTACACAGTGAAAACTTCTTTTTTTATTATTTAGGATTGGCCAGTTACAAAAATTATGCTAATCAACATTATTCTTTACGAGAAACTGCCCACCAAATGGGGATTTCTGTAAAATCCAGCAGAACTATTTTGAAAAAGAACAAATATAAATGCTACAGGATACGCAAAGTTCATCATCTCAATGAAAGGTATTACGGAAGGAGAGTACAATTTGCAAAGTGGTGGAACGTATATTTGTAAAAAAATAATATGAACGGACGAATCAAAATTCATCAACAATAGTTGGTTTAACAGAAATATCCATTATAGGTGGAATGATATAAATGAACATTCACATAGGGAAACCAATTTCCAAAAAAGGTTCGGAATAAATGTTTGGTTGGGCATTGTGGGAACAAACATCCTTGGCCCTTTGTTTTACGATGATCATTTGAATAGTGAAATGTATTCTATTCAATTGATTCGATGGCTACTTAGATGAATTGCCACTGAATATCCGCCATGAAATACAATATTTTCAACAGGACAGCGCTCCCTCCCATAATGCAGCAATAGTAAGGGAACATTTAGATGCAATATTCCCAAGATAATGGATCGGAAATAATGGACCAATTAACTGGCCAGCTCGATCCCCAGATCTTACTCCTTTAGATTTTTTGTCTGGGGATATATAAAGGATTAAGTTTTTTCAATCATGTATTAAGTATTACACCTATTATGCTAGAAAATTTCCACATAAATTATCCGGACCAGCAACTTATGTGCATTAAACAAAGAGGTCGTCAATTCGAGCATTTAATGTATATTGCTCTAGCTTTGATTTTCACCATTATCTGATCGTTATGCGGCGTTTCTTTGAGCAAATTTGTCAAAAAAGACCAGAAATGTGCAAAGAAAACTCATGGATTTCGCACCATCTCACGAGGCTATCATTGTGAACGAATTTCTGACCAAAAACTGAACAAACCCTATCGAATAGACACCATGTCCACCTGATATGGTTCCGGTCGATTTTTTTCCAAAACTCAAATTACCACGTCGAGGCCCTCGTTTTCCGTCAATAGATTTCAGAAGGGTTCTACTTTGAAGGCGATACAATAAATTTGGATTAATGAAACATCTTTTGCGTTCTTCATCCAAGCACACAAGTTTCACGACGAATCGACGAAGAACGTGTTTCAGAATTTTCTGAGTGATTCATTTTGAATCAGCAGGATATATAAAATTGAAAAAACTGATGATAATTACCAGTTTTGAAAGGTTCCTCTGGAGCATAGGTAGGCCGAGGTATCGGCGGCAGCTCCGTTTCATTTGTTCCCGATTCTGGTGCTGGTTGAGGTTGGGACGTGGGTTCCGGCTGAGGTGGGGGTTCCGGTTGTGGATTTTCGCATCTCTGTTGGCACCGCTGCTGGGACTCGAAGTTATTTCCATTACCACCGCATCCTCCATAATAGAACTGGCGGCAAGATTTTTCTCTCGTATCGTAATACCAACGGCCCACATAATCGGCACAACCCCCAGTTTCAGCAGGAAGTTGACACGTGTCTTTCTCTGTGGAAGTAAGAAAACTCATTAACGTCAAAATGAATTCTCGAATTTGAATCTATTTAAAACCGCCAAGAAAAAGCAAATATCTAAAGACACATTGTATTGTGCAAGGCAGCTCAAGCAAATTAGTTATATACCAGAATAACATTCCTTTTCAAAATGTAATTGTTTTCATTAGAAAACCGTGCAATTGCAGAATTCTAAATTGAAGCTTTCGATATAACTGTTCCCAATCACAGTAATATAGTAAACATCAATAAATATTTGTTTGAGAGTGGTTGACAATGCTTCATGGTGAATTTTACTAGGGACAGTATCTGAATCATGAATCCAGCCATCACCAATTTACCAAATGAGGAATCATCAAGACTCTAGTGGAAGTTCTTTCGGGCTCTGTAATATGGAAGAAGGTCTCAAGAATGATCTAGGAATCATCAGAAAAGACCTTCAACGGAATGGTTACTCCGTATGATGGTGGAACAGACTTTGGCTGGAAGACAGCAAGAGCCTCACAAGGAAGAAAAGCCGTCACAATCAGTGCTTTCAGGATAGGAAGAATTGGGTCCAAGTCTCTAGGAGAAATCTCCTTTATATCAGCAGGTGTCGGCCAAGCTCGCCGAACACACACTCTCTTATTGACGATAATTCTGGACATTTCCATAGGACATGTCTGACAGTGTCATCTTCTTGTTCACTCATCCTGCATAGAGGTGTGTTCACTAGCCCCATATTGTGGAGGTGTTTCCTTAGTTGACAGTGGTCACTCAGAAATCCTACTGTTAAGCGTAGATTTTTCCTGGTCATCGCCAGATCTTTCTTCGGCGCCAGCTTCCCAGGGTCGCCCAGGGTGATTCTGGCATGACTGCATCCTTTGATTTCATCCCATCTCTTTAAGGA